GGGGGGGGTTGGTGGTGTTTGTTAACTCTCATTTTTAGGAAAAAGTAATTGGGTAATCTGGTGCACTTGTTTGTTATAACTGAATTAGAATATAAATTGCTATTGATGATATGTAGGAGCGTCGAGTGGCAGCCAAACAGTTGGAGATGCAGAATAAACTCTGGGTCAAAGATGAAAAACTGAAACAACTGAAGGCTATTGTTACTGAACCTAAAACCCAAAAGCCAGAGAGACCCTCCCGGGAGCGGGATCGAGAAAAAGTTACTCAAAGATCTGTTTCTCCACCACCAGTGCCTGTAAGTTATTCGTAGTTGTGTGGGAACTTAGTACTAGAGAAAACTTGTTCAGATTAGATGACTATTTCTATGAGAATCAATTTTGTTGTTTTATATTACTTATTATTTCTGAAACTTCTGTTTAGTAATACTTTAAAATTTAGTATAAACACAAATTTGGTACAAAAAATTAGTAATTTAGTACAAATAATTACTTATAGTGTTAAATCTAAAATTATAGAAAAGTGATGAATTGTTTCTCTCAGTTTTTAAGTCTTGCTCATTAATTTCTCTCCAATTTTTCTAGCTTTCTAGTAATTATATTGCTCAGATTTCCAACGGCCAGCAACTCATGAGCCAGCCACAGCTTCATAGGCGCTCTAACTCTTGCAGCAGCATTTCTGTAGCTTCCTGTATTTCGGAATGGGAGCAGAAAATTCCTCCGTACAACACACCTCTCAATGTCACATCTATTGCAAGGCGTAGGCAGCAGGAGCCAGGACAAAGTAAAACTTGTATCGTGTCAGACAGAAGGCGAGGGATGTACTGGACTGAAGGCAGGGAGGTGGTCCCTACATTCAGAAATGAGATAGAAATAGAAGAGGATCACTGCTGCAGGGTTAGTGCCAGTATTATTTTAAAGCATCATAGCAATAGATTTTATCTTCTTTGTTTATTGTAACTGGGTTCTGAAAATTCAATGGAATGATGGGTGGGCTCCACTGTAAACAAAGTCTAATTTTTCTTTTAGATAATTTAAAAGATTGAATTGATCAAAGGTTTGGACCCCCAAGCCAGCCAGCCGCCAAAAAGAAAAAGAAAAAAGATTTATCACCCTGAAATTGAGGCCTAACTCTTCGTATGAAAAACCTTAAACACATATAGCAACAGAAGTAAAGCCTTGTGTGTTCAGTGAATGCAGATCAATTTTGCGCATCACAGAGTAGTCTGTGCTTTTCAGTTACAAAAGCTAATGAGTGTCGCACAGAATCATTGAACTTGAGTGTCTTAGGGCACACTTTCCATTTTTTTCTTTTGGTTCCCCTTTCCCAAATTAAACTTTTTTTGCTGCTTTTCAACTCTAGTTTTTAAAATTGTTTTCCCAAACTTTTATTTTGAAAAGTTTCAGACCCAAACAAAAGTTGAAANGGGCTTTGCTTCCTTCAAGGATGTTTAAATAAATTCACTTTCATATTTTTCATGTTTTTCTTCTTACGGATTAAGGTAAAGTTTCCTTCGAATCTGAATAAATGGAACAAGTAAATATTGTGAATTTTATATTTAGTAAAACCTTGACATAGTTCTTTTAGGATTTTTCTTCTAAACAAATTAATCTTATAGTAAATATTTGCTTTAGATTTTCTGTTGTATAATTTAGGATGCAGATGAGTGTTCATTTAGGTGGTCTGCATTCCTGATTATTAGGAGCTGGTGATGCATCCTAAGGTATTTACCAAGGCAACAGATCATTCTAAAGTCTCTTAAGTTCTTTACTTTGCAGATTTTCTCTTAGACCTTTTTAGGGAACAAATTATGGTGAATGGTCTTTCTTATCAACTCTAGTCAATCCCCTTATCTCATGAATGTTTACAGATTGTAAACTATTCAAGGCCTGCTTGTGCCTGATTCGTAGTAATGAAATACCTAATTTGGCTATGAGATATTTAAGAGGATTTACTAGAGATACTT